TAACTTTCTCAGCATTATGTTTTGCTTTTAAAGGGGCTGATGTTATAGGTCATTGGCAGTTCTGGGATTTACCTTGCCCCCAGTCCTGCTTCTGAGCCCCAACCTACAAAATTGAATGAAAGAGTATAATGATGGTTTTGTCAGCTAAGAGAAAGAGAGTAAGGTCCTTTTAGGTTTTAAATACAGTGCGATATATTATACATAGTATTTTCTTCTTTTTAATTTCAGATCTTGGTCTTGTGATTTTTGATTTGTAAGTTTTTAAAATTTTTGTAATTAGCCTTACCACAGTCCATCTATTCTTATTTTTTCTGTAAGAGCAGCATTTCCTTTTATTTATCCTCTTAATTTTTAATTATATTTTATTTATTTTTATTAATTGCCTCTTCCTATTTTTTTCCCCCTAGTTTAAGTTGGACTCTTAATTAAGCATTTTTAATCTTTCTTGGGTTTTTTTGCAGTGTTGGGGATTGCAACCAGGACTTTTACACTGAGCTACATCCCCAGGCCTTTTTATTTTTATTTTTTTCATTCTGAGACAGGGTCTCACTAAGTTGCTAAATTAAGTAGGCTGGGCTTGAACTTGAGACCCTCCTGCCTCAGGCTTCCAGAGTGCTGCGATTATAAGGCATTGGGCCATTCCTGGCAGAAAAAGTCACCTGGGATGGTTCTTACAGGGAACAAATCTATAACACTGAGGTTATTAGCACCACATAACTAAGCTAACCAACCTGATCTTTCCTTTTTAACTACAAAGATATCTGGGCTGAAAATTTACTTCTGAGTAGAACTTTAATTACAGCTAGGAAATTTGATGGAAATGTTCTTCTTTTCATTAATTTTTAGATTACCTAGGATTGAAACTTTGATTACTTTTCAAAGAAGGGTGTTTTTAAATTTCCCTGTAGATAACACCTCCCTTTTGGGAAGTATTTATTGTTACTTTTATTATCACAATGACTTAAAATCTCCACCTTTTGGGATTTAGTAAAATTTTTATTGGGTGCAGGTATTCTCAGACTGTGGTAGCTGCTGTGGCTCCCTTTTCCTGTTTCTGACTCCATTCTCTTGTGCTCCAGCCAGAGTGCACAGGGCTCACTGAACTGTGGCGCAAGCATGGCTGTGGCTGTGCAGCAGTCCCTGTGAGTCAGTCTAGCTGAGACTTTGTTTTTAGTGTGGTCGAGACCAGCAAGGAGGAGGCTTGGGTAAGGCCAGGAGGCGGCACAAGTAGGAAAGCACTTGGCTTTAGGCCTCTGAGAGTCTGCAGAGGTTGGTATGGACCCTAGAGTAGGCTTTAAATGCTTGTGGATGCAAAGGATCTGCCTGGACTGAACCTTCCTGTCGTGGTGTCAAGAGAGTAGGAAAGACAGACCAAGGGCTTGGGGAGTGCCTCCACCCTACAGGCCCTGCTTCACCTGCTTTGCACTCCTCTACTCTCCACTGGCTGCCATGACTTGGGGCCCTCTACCACACCTGAACCCTACTAGCAAAAGTAGAAAGGAAATGCTGGAGTGAGGGGTGAAGACACCCGGAGGGAAGGAGGTAAGACAGAGAACAGTACCTGCCTGAGTTCAGAACCAGTCAGCAGCTTCCATGAAATCCAGCAAGGAGAGCATCTAGTGAGGTTCAGACATGGCTCAGAGGAGGTTTCCCATGGTTACCACACACAGCTTCCCAACTAAGTAACACTGCAGAGTAATAGAAAATTAAAGGAGAAGGGTGGGCTGGGGTGTAGTTCAGTGAATGGTAGAGCGCTTGCTTAGCATGTCTGAGGCCTGGGTTGCATCCCAGCACTGCCAAAAAGGAAAAAGTCACTCCAGACCAAATTAGGACCTGAAGTGAAAATACACCAGTTCAGCCAGAGTACATGGGAAAATACCAAAACATGACAGTTCCAAGGGAAAAAGTAAGAGATGTAGAGGATAAAACCGTGGTACTTAATGTGCAAATGATAGCCAAAAAATAGAGAGATAGCTGAGAAGCAATTATTAAGTAAATGTTAGAAGTGAATAACCTTATATGAAGAAAATCTGAGCCTGCAGTGTAAGACTTCTAATCTTTTTTAATGACTAAAGGTGCACATCTAGGATGTCTTAGTAAAATTCCTAGCCTTTAAACAGAAGAAAACTCTTCCTCTGCCCACTAAAAGGAAAGGATGAATGTATGGGATTGCTATTGAACTTCCTGTTTGTAACTCCAAGCTAGAAAGCACCGGAATAGTAGCTGCTGATTCTTGAGAGGAAAGGACTTGATACCCTGTGAACATCTATTGTGAGGGTGAAAGAAAGTTTGTACAATGCCAGGGTACCAAAAGTAAACCGTCCATGTTTTTTATCTAGAAACTTCGAAGTTAGAAACAAGGAAGAACAGCAAAGGGAAAGCATGTGGAGTACATAATCTTGTTTGGACTCATCCAGTATTTATCCTTAATTATATGATATTTAAGAACATTCAATTGAAGTGGTAAATTTCTTGAAATACTATGAATGACATTTTGTTAATATTCTACAAATAATATGCTTTTTCCATAAAAAGTCAGGTACTTATAGTTAGAAAAGGGATTAAGTAAATATTTTTCACAGTCTGTGGGTGAGGACTGTCAAGGGGGAAAATGAAAGTGTTATTAAGATCTCTTTTATAGAGGGAAAAAGTAGGAACAAATTATTTTACTGGGAAGAAGATACCTCTTTGATGAGGGTATACCTGAAAACATGTTTTAAATAATAATTGAAGCTATCATTTAAAATTTGTTCAGTGTCCCAAGCAGAGAAAGGGGAGATAGAGTAATGAAAACAGAAAAAGAGATAGTAAACATTAACAGAACAGAAAAGTATATGAAAGTGTGAAATCAACAAAGAGAAGAAATGGAAAGATGAGCAAAATATCCAAATCAGTAAAAAGTAAGGAAAAATAAAATGAGATAAATACTAAAAAAATAAATAAAAATCACATATGTTGCAGTAAATGTAAATAAAATGAATTCTTCCATTAAAAGTTAGATTCTAAACAGCATGTGGTGATACATATCTGTAACCCCAGCAATTAGGCTGAAGCAGGAAAATCACCTCAAATTCCAGACCAGCTTGTACTACATAGTGATCCACTGTATCAATCAATAAAATACATATATGTATGTATATATGTAAAATAAAAGAAAAACTTAAAATCTGAAAAGGAAGTTTAGAACTTTACATTTGTAGTCTGAGGGAGTAGAGAGACATCATATCAAATAAACGTTATAAAAGAACTTGTTTGACAATATAAAAATGTTAAAATCCTTTAGGGCAAAAAATACCCTAAAAATCAGTAGGCAAATGAAAGAATAGGAAAAATTTATTTTATTCAGATAATAGAATGATTTAAAAGAAAACCCAATTGAAAATGGATAAAGGAGAAAAACAAACAGTAAACAGAAAGGCTGATCCAGACAAAGGTGAGAACACAATTCGGTTTATTGATAGTTAGGGAAATTAAACTTTCAATCACAATTATATCTTATCCGACTTTTCCCGTGTAGAGGGAAGACTGTCCTCATGGTTGGAAGTGTGAAGGGCTAATGTAGTAGAAAATAGAGATCTAGTGAAATTTAAAATGTTTGAATACTTTAACTCAGCAGTTCTCTTGGCTTCTGTGCCATAAGACCAAAGCCACACATACAGAAGACTACATGAAAGAGATGTTTATTGCAGCATTTGCCCCAGCGGCAAAAACTTGGAACAATGTGTGTGACAATCAACAGAGAATTGATGATTGGTTGGAAAGCTGTGCTACATACATATTGTAAAATAGTATGTGGTCCTTACAAAGAAACCAAGCCTATGTTCTATCCGTGGACTCATATTTCTGTCATCAGCTAAGAAATGTGAAATGAAGAGAAGGGGGCAGGTATAAGAACCTCTTTCTAAACAGGAAAATATGAGTAAAACACGTCCACAAATCAGTGTATTCTGTGTATGTGTGAGCATGAAGAAATACATGGGTGAGGGTATCATGGGTAGTGAACGTGAGCCATGTCTAATAACATGAGAAGGAAGAAGACAGGGACACAAGCAAAAATCAGTACACGTGAGGGCCGGGGATTTAGCTCAGTAGCACCGCGCTTGCCTTCCAAGCGTAAGGTGCTGAGTTTGATCTCCGGTACCAAAAAAATAAAAAAATCAATACACATGAGAGTCTAATTGTAGATATCTATAAAAACTTTATAAAATTTTAGAAGGTGATTAAAATTGAAGAAAACTGCTTTATGAGCTTAAAAATGAAAATTGACCCTCATGTATATAGGTATTAAAGCACTTGTAATTTTCTTCTTAAATCTAACAATCCTTACCTTAAGGTGACAAATTCTGAAAGAAATATCTCAACAATGATTATGCTTTTTCATAAGTTTCCTTTTGTGTTATTAGTTTTGCTCTTTGAGGGATAATAGTTTATCCCTTATTGATAATTTCCTACCCTGTTTTCTTTAGTGCTTTTGTTAATAAACTCTACTGCTTCACATTCATATTATTGATTTTGCTTTCTTTGCTTGGATTTATCCTCTCTAACAATTTTTTCTCTTAGATGTTGCATCAGATAATATATATTTTAAATACTATATAGCAGTGTCCTTTTCCCAAATCTAAGCAGCATCTCCACCCTTTATAAGGGATGTCTGTTGGCCCTTTCATACTTACTCTACTAATTAATAATTAGATTTTATTCTGTCGATCTAATTTGTAGTATGAATACTTTAATTCTGCATAGCTTCCACATTTAGTTTTGGGTACAAGAATTCTCCTTTAGGGCTGGAATTTAACTCAGTGGCATGGCACCTGCCTTGCAAGCATGAGGTCCTGAGTTCAATCCTCAGTACTAAAAAAATAAAAAGAATTCTTCTTTAAAGATTATTTTGAGAAAATTCTAATTCTGAACTACATGCACAGTATGTAATACATGCAGTGGTTGTGCTGATATAAGCCTACTGAGAATATTTCTTTTTTTCTCTCTTTATTATCATAAAGACAAGTTGAGTGGCAGCAATGCAAACAAAAGACAAAAAATTGATCAGGACTTTCTCAGCTCTATTGACCAGACAGGAGAACTTTTGGCAGTGTTTGAAGATGATGAGATTGATGAAGTTAAACAAGAAAGAATGGAGGTATAGTACATTCTTCCCCTTTTACAGTAATCGACAACCATAGAAGTGCCTCTGCTATTTAGTTCTATTCTTGTGAGTTTTAAATGTCTGAAATCTCCAAACCAGTGGTTTTATATCTGATGGCAGCGGAATATAGAGGAACTTTCCCTTCACAGTCACCTTTGGGAATCAACTTTAATTTCTTTTTCTTTATTTCCTCCTTGGAAAATGTGTGTGTGAGAATAGGTTTCTCTGTTCTGGATTTGAAATATGTTTGTGTTGTTTTATTCCATTAAAGGTAACTTGTCACTAAATATTTATCTTCTGTTGCAAATTACCCAGTTAGCTTGGTAGAAGAGGTAATTTTTACTGCTTTTGTTTTGGCACACAGAAGGAAGAGCTGTTTTCCAAATGATTGTTTGTTGGACTCATTAGCTCAGGTAGTGCAGTTACATGCTTTAGTATCACTGAAACACAGCGTTAATGACCTGTTTGGATTTCTTGGATAGGTTTTAGCAGTGAATGTGAAAATTGTATGTCCTCTACCTTTGAGTGCCTTCCAAAATACAAAACGTATTCTTATAATTCTTATTGCTGCTATTATACTTTTACATGTGAGAAATCTCAATTTCCTTCTCCCCCTAAATTGAGCAAGAGAGGTAATTCCATAATTCTAAAAGATATGCTAAGTGTCTACTTTATCATAGTCTCTATGCATGCTATAAGTATAATTATTTCATGTTAAATTTTGGAAAAGGTCCAATATACATACATGCTTTGTAAACTTTAACAATCTTCTTTGAAGAATTAGTATGCTTAGCTCATAAATTGTTGATCTAAAGGCACTGTTCTCTTAGGTATCAATTACCTTAGAAATGTTCTGTTATCTTGGTTTGGGGCAACTGCAAATGGTTATCCTTCAACTTTGCCTTGGGCCAAAAACATGCTAAGTTGTCCAAAGCAGGTGACAAACATGTATTTCTGATGTCATTATGGCCTAAACAGGATATGATTGTTTCATGGCATGGTTTCACTTATAATTCATTACACAGAAAGCAAATATTGTTTATTCTTTATTTTTAAAATTTTTTCTATTCTGAAAATGGCCATTAAGGAAAAGGTCATTGAAGTAACTTTTCAGTTTTGATGGGAAAAATCTCATCTAACCAATCCTGTTGCCTAGAAGGGAAGAAATGGAAGATTTGTAAAACTGAGCTCCTAATAGTGGGCTACCGTCAGCCTAGAAAAATGATGAATCAGGGAGGCACTAGTTGAAGTCAATAAAATAGATGGAAGTGCTGTAAATAAAAAAAAAGCTTGACCACTTAATACACTCTGTATCCCACCTCCATAAACTTAGGTATTACCTAGTAGTAATAAGTAGAATAAAATTTCAATAGATGATAAAAATGAATGGCTATAGTAGAAATCTGCTTCATCTATACAATAGGCATGAGATTGGCAGTGTCTTTAAGGTTTCCATTGAAATAAAATCTTCTCTAACCAAGTTAACAAAGAGTTGTTTTGTTACTCCACTCATCCAGATAACAGAGTTTAACTGAATAAAAATGATGGCCTTGTAGATATACTGTAGACAGTAGAAGTGGAACCATTAAGAGCAGGGGCCTTGCCTGCTTCTAATTTGACAGGTTACAGTTTCAAGAGTAAACCACAACTGTTGCAGTCCAGATGAAACCACTTTGGACTCGCAGACTGCAATCTCATGTGTTTAAAGTTCAGCAGAATAATCAGTCCTGGCATCATTCAGTGATTTAATTTTCCTCCAAGCATCACTTAGGGTTGTAGAAACTTTATTTACTATCTTCTCAAGAATATGAAAATGGTATAGACCTACCAACAAAGCCTAATTTTGTTTTCTTTCTTTGTTGTTTTAGGGATTTTTTTCCCACTTAAATGTAATTTAGAAGAGAAAACCTTTTATAGCTATAAAAATTCACTGGGGGCTCCATCTTTCTCTCAAAGCATTGGGTAAGCATGTGAATACTAGCCTGTGCTCTTCCATGGGGTTTTCAGCTGATGTTCCTGCGCCTGGCTTTTGGTTTCACTGGTAAGGAGCTTCATTATTACTAACTTTCATAGGATGTGGCATGTGGAAAGTGAATTTTCATCCATTTTGCCTTGCTAGTGCATCATTTTGATAGTTAATGAGCTCCTACCCTGTTTATTCTCTAGCACCAAATTTCTAACACTTAGGTGTTTCTGTTGGAGAAATCTATGGTCATGATCCCTGATGATACTTCCAGATAATAGAGTAAAAATTATATAATACTCAGCTGTTTTGATTTGAGGGACACCTAAGTATAGCCTTCTTCCAACTGCCCCTCCTCCCACCCAGTCAAAATGAGTCAAGAGTGTTTTAGTATTGATGTTTTTTCAATCAATTTTTATTAAAATTCTTATCAATTACATGTGGTTTTGTGATCCAGAAGCCAAGAAAGGGTCACTAAAAGTTGCAAATAGCTTTGTGTTTTCTTAACAAGGAATAACTATAATCACTGACAGAAGAGCCCTAAGCCCCCCTAGGCTTATGGAGGAACCTGACAATTCAAGTTACCTTTAATCAAGGAAGCTCTCCGGTCTGATAAGCTTCTGAGTTTGTCAAGGGAGTGTAAACAATGGACACTTTAAGAATTAGGTGGGCTCTCCTTTCAGTCTAATCTTCAAACTGATAAAAAGAAAGAGTGCAAGAATTTACAAGTAGCAACCTTTAAATAAGTTGGGATGCACAAAATCCCTAGTAACTTTATCTTCTGCTTCTAAGTCAAAGGCTTAATACTAGAATCTAGAAAGAAAACAGAATGGTATACGTAAAATTCAAGGCAGCTCATAATTTTTAAAATAAGTTTAAGTTGAATAAGATCCAAGGTGGCCGTCTGAATTTTCAAACCTGAAGTGAAGGGGCCATAGATTTTATTTTTTTATTTTTTTGGAACCAGGGATCGAACTCGGGTCCTTGCACTTGCAAGGCAGGCAGCGGAACCACTGAGCTAAATCCCCAGCCCGGGCCATAGATTTTAAAATGTGGAGTTTTTTATAAAGGCTAAATGATAAGAGAAATCAGGCATGCACACACTGTGCCCAGTGGTTACAATGTTGTGACAGCAGAGGGTTCGCAGTCCCAGGATGACAGTTGTTCTAGGTGTGTGGACTGAGAAACTCAATAAAGAGGTCAGAGGGGCAGATGGCAGCAGATGTTCTCTACCTTCTCTTGGTCTTTGTGTTAGACCTTCATTTGTGTATCATGATCTTTTTTAAGGAAAGGAAAAGCAAATGCCTTATGAGTCTAAAAATGGCTTAGATAAGATTTAACAGAAAAGAGTATTGTCAGTAAGATAAACTTTTACAAATACCAAAACAATTAAAAGATTGATTTAAAAACTGAAACTCAGAAAAAAGTCAGTAATTTCAGTGTATATGGGATTAAGAAATGATGATAGGGTCTGAAGTGATAACTCAGTGGTAGAGCACTTGCCTTGCATATTGAAGGCATATGGTTCAATCCCCAGAACCATAACACAAAAAACCAAAGAGAAAGAAAAAAATAAATGAAGATAGAATTATATACTAGAATATATACCTATATATAGTTTGTATGTATATTATACATATGCAGACATATAAATACATACGTATATATCTATATTTGCATATAGATTTACTGCTTACATACTGTTCATAGCATACTATTTAGGAATAGAAATAAAATTTTACTAGATTTTTTTTTAAAAGATGAAAGCATAAGAACCAGCAGTAGTATATGAGATCAACTCAGATGCTAGTGGTATTAGTTTCAAAGAAGAAAGAATTTAAACAATAAAGCTTTTAAATAGGTTAAGAACAATAATTTCGTTATTAAAACATTCTGCCTATAATGAAGATATAATAAATAACAAATATTAACCATCAAATTTCTGAGCATTCAAACATAAGAAAACTTTGGAAGTGCAAGCAGAGGTCACACAAAAGCATTTGTAGTAGAGACTGGAGCAAACCACTTTCAACCTTTGGTAAAGTGACTGTCTCAAAATTTTTTAAAAGGCTGGGGATGTAGTTTAAGCGTAGAGCATTTGCCTAACTGCATGAAGCCCCAGGTTCAATTCCCAGTACCAGTTCATACACACACACTAGCAAGTCATATTCAACAGGACATCAAAAAGATCATTCATTTTAATCAAGTTGATTTCATCCCAAGGAATCAAGGATGGTTGAACATACATACACAACTCATTAAAAATAATACATCAGATAAATAGGATGAATCATAAAAATCTTATGATCATCTCAATACACATAGGAAAAGCATTTGATACAATTCAACATGCCTTCATGATAAAAGCTCTGAATAAAATAGATATAGAAGAATTGTACTTCAGCATAATAAGGGTTATATATGACAAACAATAGCCAGCATCACATTGAGTGGGGAAAAGCTGAAAGCATTTCCTCAGTGATTAGGAACATGATAAGGATAAGTCCACTCTCACTTCTCTTTATTAATATAGTCTTAGAAGGTTTAGCCCGAGCTACTGGGCAAGAAAAAAAAATAAAAAGGCATACAACTAAGAAACAAGAAAGTTAAATTATCCCTATTTGTAGAAGATATGATTCCATATCTAGAAAAACCTAAAACCTTCACCTGAAGACTATTAGAATGGATGAACAAACTTAGTAAAGTTTCAGAATACAAAAACATATAGAAATCATTAGTGTTTTTATACACAAATAACAAATTGGCTGAGAAAAAATCATAAAAGCAATCTCATTCACAGCACACACAAGATACCTAGGACTGAACTTAAAGAAGTGATAAACCTTTACAATGAAAATTAGAAAACACTAAAGAAAGAAATGGAAGGAGACTAACAACAACAAAAAAGGAACAATCTCCCATGCTCATGGATTGAAAAAATTATATTAGAGTGTCTATAATTCCATGATTTACAGATTCAGTGCAATCTATATCAAAATAGTTTTCTTTACACAAGTAGGAAAAAAATCCT